GGGCTATAGGGCTATAGTAGGGCTTCAGTAGGGCTATTGGGCTATAGGGCTATAGGGCTACAGGCCTACAGGGCTATAGGGCTGTAGGGCTGTTAGGCTGTAGGGCTATAGGGTTAATTGGGCTATAGGGCTATATGGCTATAGGGCTATAGGGCTATTGGGCTGTAGGGCTATGAGGCTATAGGGCTATAGGGCTATAGGGCTACCGGGCACCCGGGCACCTGGGCACGTGGGCACCTGGGCACCCGGGCACCCGGGCGTGCGGCCGAAGTCGGCGCCATCTCACCTAACCATATGAATCCGTTACGACCCCGACAGAGGCAAGTTCTGATTGGGGAATATTGCCCAGGCGGTGTGCCATAGGCTGGTGCATGTCTGTGTTGACTGGTCCCCCCCTCCTCTTCCTCTCTCACCCTTACGCCTCCCGCGCCTGAGCACCCTTTTCTCTTGCACTTCGCGGCATCTCTCTTTCCTGCGCCCTTTCGCTGCATGTCAATCTTGCCTTCGCAAGGGCTCCCTCGAGGGCGCGAAGTTATTCGCGCTTCGCGCTTCGCGGTCCTCGTTCCTTCTCCCCCTCCTCCTCGTCCTCCTATTCTCCCTTTGGGAGGGCGGCGCGAGAGCGCGAAGTTATTCGCGCTTCGCGCTTCGCGCAGCGCGAAGCGCGAAGTTGGGAGCCCTAGCGAACTTCGCCTCCTTTCCCACCAGGGGCTGCTCCACACTCGCTCTTCGTGTGTACCTTTCTCCGTTCCTTCCCTCTCTCGCCTCCTCCTCTGGCCTCGCCCAGGGCCCCGTGAGTGGCGCCTCCTCGCTGGGGGCCACGCCAGGGCCTCCCCCGAGCTTCCCAGGGGTTCCGGGAGCTCTGCAGAAGTTGTGGTGGGCCCCGCGCCGGTCCCAGGAGGCCCCCAGACTTCGGGAGCCTCGAGACGGGGGTCAATGCAAACGGGGGTCAGCCAGGGGGTCCAGATCCTGCAGGATCCTGCGAAGACCCCCTCTGGCTGACCCGGGTTAGGGAGCCGCTCGTGGCCGCGAGGCGGCCGCGCGTATTGGCTGACCCGGGTCTGCGAGGACCTGCGGTGCATTTTTTTTTCCTGCATTGCAGTTTTTTGTTTCCTGCTGACCCGGGTCTGGATTGACCCGGGTTAGAAGATCCCCGAAGACTGCCATGGGAAATCTCCAGCAGCGCAAGGAGTTCCCAAGGTGCTGCCAAAGTGCCCGTGCAGGATGTCCAAGAGGCCGGACCAGTCAAACACCAGAAGGGTTCCAGACGTGTTTTCGTTTCTTGTCCTGGAGTTCCCATGTGTTGCGAACGTGTGGCTCCAATAAGAATCGTGGGCCCAACTTTTCCATATGATCGTTGCAAGATTGCCTGCGGATGCGAGTACCAGATCCCCACTGTGACTTCAGACGCCAAAGCGTGCACTTCCAAGCCAAGGATTCGATCATCTCGACACGGCCCTCCGACGCGCTGCACGATTGGTCCCATGGCGAGTCGAACTTCGCGCGATGGCTCTAGTTGTCGGGATCTCACGCCGCTGTGAGACTGTAGCGCCGTCGGGGCCTGGGGCCCATCGCGTCCAAGGGGTGCCCCGGGCTCGGGGAGCCCCCCCGAAGCGTGCCCGAGACATGTACCAATCTGCACAGACACGAGCCGTGGAAGTCCGCCCTTGGGTTTCTTGCCCCCTGTAATCTGGGTGGGTACCCCTGCATCGTTCTTACGAAGATCGGGCCGGACGAAAGGGGGGGGGTTGGGAAAGGGGGGGTTACGAAATTTGCTGCATGCAGCTGGTTTCGGCCTCACCGAGGAGCCCATTCCTCGATACATAGCCGCCTCCAGCGACGGGAGGCGCCAGGAAAATCAGCTACGTGAGCTGATTCTCCCCCCCCCCTTTGCTATCCCCCCCTTTCGCCCGACCCGAAAAGACTTCCTAGGAGGTGCGTCATGACCTCTGGCGCAGGGCCAGGATGTCAGCATCGCGACAACACACGGCGCGGACTCCAGGCTCCACCTTCCTGTAGCATGTCTCGCAGGCCGCAGGCCCCGAGAGCTGGCGACGCGCCCGTTGCGAAACAGAAACAGTTGAGCGACGAAAGAAAGCGGGCTCGTCTTCTCACCACCCACCAAACCACCCCAACCCAACCCGAAGGCCCCAATTTATCCTCGATTTCCAGTGTGGGGGGGTCGTGGAACATCGAGAAAACACACATGGAACCCGTACCCCCCCAAACCCGAAATTCGGGTCTTCGGGTTGGGTTGGGGTGGTCTGGTAGGTAGTCATCTTCGCCTGCATTGGCGCGCACGATGCTCGCGTAAGGTCGCGCGTAAGCGCCTTCGTTTCGATGGGGCCCGTTGGTTTTCGTCGCTCAAGTGCCATGCCCGGATCTCATGGCCTGGCGCCGACCATGGAGGCAAGTGTTCTTTTACCCTCTGGGCCATGACGCGCGTTATGCCCCTTACCCTTCTCGCCCCCTCCTTTCCCCCATGACGTAACGCTCCCCCCCTCAGTGCGTCCACGGCGCTGCCGCAGTGCGTCCGGCACAGCAGTCTGGGGGTGGTGGTGGTCGCTACGTTATGCCCCCACCTGAGATCCGACGTTGCGAAAACATCGCAACATCGTGACAAATCACGACCGGAGCCCTAGACCCCATCGTTTTGCGCCGTTTTTCGAGCTGGCTCTGTCTGTGAGGGCCCTGGATTGCCGCGCCAAGATCCGAGGGCCTCCCGTTCCCCCCCCCCCCTCCCCCCAAAAATAATGCCCGGGCTGGCTGCGAATGAAGAAGGTCGGGAGCCTTGAGACGGGGGTCAATCCAGACGGGGGTCAGCCAGGGCGCCGGATCCTGCAGGATCCTGCGAAGATCCCTTCTGGCTGACCCGGGTTAGCGAGCCGCTCGTGGCCGCGAGGCGGCCGCGCCTATTGGCTGACCCGGGTTTGCGAAGACCTGTATTGCAGTTTTTGTTTTCCTGCATTGCAGTTTTTGGTTTCCTGCTGACCCGGGTCTGGATTGACCCGGGTCAGAAGATCCTCGAGAAGGTGCGCTCGAGTTCGGTGCAGGTTTCTTCTCGCACGGCTTGGATTACGTCGGGTATGTCTCTCTACAGGAGGAAAGGTAAACATCAAAAATAGTAAAAAAGAACAGGAGGAAAATTCAACAGGCGGCGAGCGAGGGGGGGAAGTGAGAGGGAGACGGCCTCCTCAGAAGGCGGCGGGACTCCTCGGAAGCCCTCGCGACTTCTGAGAGGTGTCTTGGTGCCTACGGGGAAGGCTCAGAACACTTCTCGGAAGGCTGGGGAACTTCCGAGCCTTCCGAGAAGGCCCGCCCCTTCTCGCTTCCCCCGGCTCGCAGCCGGGTCCGGGGTGGACATCGCAGGCCTAGAGGTTGACACCAACACCAATTTCGGCGGTGTGCCTCCACCGAGGGAAGAAGATCCCGATCTCGGTGATGGTGGTAATTTTTTGGCTTCCACGGTGGCCGAAGTATTACCACCAACACCGAAATCTAAGATCATCTTCCCCCTGTGGAGGCAGCCCCCTGTGTTGGTGTTGGTGCCAATGTCCAGGCCTCCAATGTTCGGGGGTGGACAGACCTCCTACCCTGACACGTCGATGAGTGAATTGTCCGCTTTCGGTTCTCGAGAATGGCGCCGCGGCCGTCAGCGCCCGCCAGATTGGGGCCCGAGGTCGTTTTCACTAAACCACGTTTTACCAAAGGGAGGTCTGTCCATCTCCGACCTGTCCCTCTATAGGCGGGATATTCAAAAATAGTCCAAAAATGGTGGGGGGATGATTCTGTGACTGTTTTTGAGCACTTTTGGAACGTTTTTTGGCCACTTGTTGGATCTTCGTCCAAAATCTCCCTGTAGGGACAGGCCCGACCTGAGGCTACGCTCCGGTTGGGAGCCCCTCGATCCCCAGTCGCCCCCCTTCGTTAGAGGAACGAAAAGTGACATAAACATAATAACTTGGAGGTCCGCGGATTTCTCGCATCGGCGCTGGGGCCCCCTGGCGGCGCCTCCGGCGCCGCCCCTGGCGCGCTCCGCGCGCCAGGCAGGGGGGTCCAGCGCCGATCCGAGAAATCCGCGAGGACCTCCGAGTTTTGATGTTTATGTCACTTTTCGGTTCCCTACCCAAAGCGCTCCCGACCCCCCGACCGCCTCCCGCCCATGCGATTCCCCCCGACCCGACCTCTTCCGAGCTGTTTCCGCCGTTCCGACTCGTCTCGACCGCCGATCCGATGCATTCGGAGGCCACGTGCGAACCCAACCCCACCACCCCACGACTTCTCAGGGTCTCCTATGCCACTTTTTGTTCCCCTATCCGAAAGTTCGTGCTTGTGCCGCTCTGTTCTTTTGAGAGTGGACGTAGCCTCTAGCCCTCGTCCTGCCGTGAAGGGTAGGGTTCGCACGTGGCCTCCTCCGCCACTCTTCGTTCCCCTCTTCGTGGCCGGCATGGGGCCCGACGGCTCTCCCCGCCCACGGAGGGGGCGGCCATGCGCTCCAAGGGGGGCCCGTCGCCGATCCAGCGGCGACGCGTCGCCGATCCCGGGGAGGAGGAGGAGGAGGAGGAGGAGGAGGAGGCAGAGGCGGAGGCGGAGGAGGAGGAGGCGGAGGAGGAGGAGGAGGAGGAGGAGGCGGAGGAGGAGGAGGAGGAGGAGGAGGAGGAGGAGGGAGGAGGGAGGAGGAGGAGGATGAGGCGGAGGGGGAGGGGGAGTGGCCAGGGCGCATTGCTGCAGCATTGCTCGAAGAAGCGCGAGCGTGGACGAAGGCGCTTGGACTGGCGGCGGGTCCCGTCTCCACAGAGGCTCGGCGCGTTCCGTCGCCAGGCGAGGCGAAACTGGCGTACGCGCCGGATCCACGGATCCCTACTCCATGTTTCGATGATCCTCAGGACGTGTGTTGGCCCGATGTGTGTGTGTGTGTGTGTGTTCACCCCGTTCAGCTTCACCGACAGCACACGCAGCTCGTGCCGGCCCTCACTGCACCGCCTGCTTCGTAACTATCGAAGGGGTTCGGTTGACAAAAGCCCACGTGGGCGTTCACACACGTTCGGAGTGTATCGAATAGTAGCGCGTGCCCAGATTGCTGCCTGCGTCGAAGCTGACGCAGCTCGCAGTATTATTCAGTTGCGCTGCCGCGCGATTCCGCCACCGCGCTCGGGCGGGCGCGGGGGTTGGTGTCCTTGGGCGGGGGGCCTGGGGGGAGGGTCCGTGGAATCCTTCTTCCCGAGCTTTGCACTGTGGATCATTTTCTGCCAGGAAGGCCAAACGCGCAGGGACTCGGCCACCAAACTGAGCGCACCCTTGGGCTCGATCCTTGGGGGGGTCCTAACTATTGCTTCGCCTTGCACCAACCGCTGCAGGAGCGGCGGCGGATCGAGTGTTAACGCGTGCCGGAATTGCTGCCTGCGCCCCAAGTGTCGCAGTTCGCAGAGTTATAAAGTTATACAGTTGTTCATCCATCGCCCAGCGCGCTGCGCGCGTGCGAGTGCTCGCGGCGGGCTCTATAGCGAGCGTGCTGGCCAGTCTCGACGCCATTTCGGCACGCTCTCTGCGGGAGCAGCCGAATGTGTGTCGTTCGTGCGCCTTCTGTCCAATCCCTCCGCCCCCTCGTTCCTTCCCCCTCTCCTTCTTTTGAAGGCAGTTCGACATTTCGAAGGCAACCATTTTTCGAAGGCAGAACCTTTCTGTAGGCAGGAAGGTTTGAGAGTCTTGTTTCGTGAAGGCACACAAGTTGAAAGCAAGCATGTCTTCGAGCACGCATCTACATCTCGTCAGGCAATTTGTTCTTTCCCCGCCCGCGCCTCCCCTTCCCCTGCTCCTCCCTTCTCTGCCTCGCGCTCTCTCTCTCTCTCTCTCTTGCCCTTGTCCCCCCCCCGCCCTCCCCTTCGGCCTCGCCCCCTCCCTCCACTTCGGCTGCCGCGGCTTGTAGTTTGCATCGCCGCGGATAGTCATCGCGTGGTCTCGTACTACCATCACGCGTATCTGCTACGACCAGTGGCACAGGTACTAGTGCGACCGACCATCAACATTCACAACATTACTGCTCCTATGAATTTCTCTAGCTTGGATGCGTACTCCTTCTGCCGCTACTTCTCTTTTGCTCCCCTAGCTGAGTCCCTACGCTGATTTGGACTGTGATGGCTCCTGCGACTTCTAACTCCTGTTTATTGCTGCCATTCTGTGTGCTGGTTCCCACGTTTAGGGGCAGAGGGTTACAGATTGCAGCTCGAGCCTCCCGCCTCGGTCCCCTTTCACGGCCGTCTCGGGGCGTCTCTTGGGTGCCTCTGTGGGGTCATCTTGCAAACCTTGGTCGCGCGCGATCCTGGGGGCCTCTTGGTGCGTCTTGGACGTTCTGAAGCCCGACGGGCTGATTCTGTCAAACTCACGTGCGGCGAATGTGCGTTTTCCGATCAATCGGGCTCGTTGTGCAGCCCCCCAGGCCCTCCGAGACGTCCTAATGTGCTCCAGAGATGGCCCGAGGATTGCCGCTCGTGGCCATGGTTAGGTCGGGCGTGTCCCCCTACAGGCGGATTTGGGGGGACAAATAAGAATAGCAAAAAGATATTCAAAGGAGTCAGCAAATAATCCATAAATCGTGCCCAGACTATTTTCTGACTATTGTGGAGTACTCCTCCTGTAGAGGGACATGCCCGACCTAAGGTCGTGGTGGGACACGTGGGGGCGTGGACGCCCAAAAAGCGTGCTCCCGAGGCCTCGGGGACAGCGTCGCGCGGGGGGGGTCCGAGGAACGCCAGGAGTCCGAGGCGGGAATCTACACGTGACCACCGCCTGGGGGATCCATTTTCTCGGACCTCGGCAGGCGGTGGCTATGGACATATTTCAGGAGGAAAAGAAACACACAGACACAATTAATCCCCGATTCCCCAGAAAATATGGGAAAATATGGGAAGTGGGGGGGAAGACAGACCCAGAAAATATGGGAAAATATGGGGAATCGTTTTATTTGTGTGTATTTATTTGTGTGCCCTGGGGCCCCTTCAATATTCGGGCCCCAGGGGGCCAAACTGTATCCATAACCACCGCCCGCTGGGGCGCCAGGACGTCGGTTCCCAGGCGGTGGATGTGGGCAGATCCTTGCCTCGCAAAGAGTCGCCGAGGATGCCGGGGGAATCCAGGAGCTGGCTGGTCTCAGGCGGGCATCTTCAGCATCCGATGACCCACCTGTTCGGCCGTTGCCTGGCCGCGGGGCCAGAACACCACCTCGACAGGGGGCGAGAGTCCATTCCCGGGCGAGGGGCCCGGAGCCCCGGGGCCGCGGAGTGACAAAGTCTGCCGGAACACTCCCTGGGGGCCAAACGGTAGGTTCCTGCGGCGATGGCGCGCCGGCGACGCCGGCGAGGGCGTTGCAGGCTGAATGCCGGACGTGATGGAGCGACGCGGAAGCACCGAGGGACGCGGGCATGCTACAGGACCCGACGGGGTTCCACACGGAACGATCGGGGCCGCGATCGGTTCGAGGTGGAGCGATCGACGCTGTGTCAAAAGCCTGAGCGCGCGCGCCGACGCCGCGCGAGCCTACCGTGACGGGGGCCCAAAGGGGCCCGATAACATTTCGTTCGGTGCCTCGCGGCGCGGTGGCGAGTCTCGCTCGTAGCATGGCGCCCCTGCGGCTTCTTCTCGGAGGGCGCCAGCAACAGTCGGGCCGCCGAAGAAGGAGCCCTTTTCGTCGGGGAGGGGCTCACTGTTCCTTCATAGTTTCCCAGTCCGTCTCATGCTCTCCCCATGTCTTTTCTGTGTGCAGTCGAGGTTTAGCCTGTGGGAGAGAAAATGGGCCTCGTCTCTTGTCTAGGGTTCCTCATGGCAGCGTTTCGACATGTAATGGCACGTGGAGGAGGAGGAGGAGGAGGGGGAGGAGGAGGAGGAGGAGAGGAGGAGGAGGAGGAGGAGAGGAGGAGGAGGAGGAGGAGGAGGAGGAGGAGGAGGAGGAGGAGGAGGAGGAGGAGGAGGAGGAGGAGGAGGAGGAGGAGGAGGAGGAGGAGGAGGAGGAGGAGGAGGAGGAGGAGAGGAGGAGGAGGAGGAGGAGGAGGAGGAGGAGGAGGAGGAGGAGGCCCCGTCCTGGCTAGGCCCCTCCTAGGTCTGGCTGCCTGCCCTCCTGGCCAGGCCGGGCGCGCCGCTGCCCGTGCATGGCTGCTCCGGGGGCCGGGCCGGGGTATTGGGACCCCGCGCCCCCTCTGGCGGTGCCTCCGACGCCGCTCCAGGCGCGCTCCGCGCGCCACGGACACGGAGGGGGCCAGCGTTACGTCGGGCGTGTCCCCCTACAGGGGGATTTTTCGACGAAGAGAATAAAAAGTACCCCCAAACGTACCCCCAAAACGGTCAACAAATAATCCAAACATGGTCCCCAGGCTATGTTTGGACTATGTTTTGACGATTTTGGGGGTATTTTATTTTTTGTTGAAAATCCCCCCTGTATGGGGGACAGGCCCGGCATAAGGCCAGCGCCGATCCAAGGAACCCGCGCGGACCTTCGAATGTTCATATGTATGTACTTTTTCTTCTTCCATCATCAGCGCCGTCGGCGTGGCGTGGCGTCGGCTCTCGAAACATACAGAAGCAACAGAGCGCAGCAGCGTATTCTTCAGGCAGAGAGTAAACAAAACACAAACAGAGAATTGGCGTCGCCTTGCTCCCGCCGCCTTCGCCCCCCTCTTCTCTCCGCCTTCCCGTTCTGGGCGGCCATCTCGCCTGCTTCTGGCACTGTGTTAATGAGCTTCCTTCCATGCCATGGGCGCCGTAGCGCCCATCCACCGTTTTAGAGGCGCTCGGGGAGCGCAAGGGCCGCTTGCGGAGGCTCTGCAGACATCAGGCGCAGCAGAGCAGATTGAGCATCGATGACCTGCTCGTTCTTCATCGGCCAGGCCAGCCTGCCTGTGGGCAACTCCGCCTCGACCTCTAGGGGGACACATGCGAACCCTGCCCCTGCCCCCCACGGTTTCTGAGGGGGAGGGTGGGGTCCACTTCGCTGGGGAGCTCCCGAGCGAAGTGGACCCCAACCCGCCCCCTCAGAAATCGTGGGGGCCAGGGGCAGGGCTCGCCCATGGCCCCCTGTCGATCTTTATCGGCCAGGCCAGCCTGCCTGTGGGCACCTCCGCCTCGACCTCGCCTGCCAGCCGGGGCCCTCCTCCGCCGGTTCCTCCCGCGAGAGGCGCGCCCCGCTCCTGCCCGGTCGGGAGGGACCAGGACACGCAGGCGCAGAGAATCGGCGTAATCGCGCCTCCCTGCTCCTTCTTTTGGGGCCACGCGGCGCGGGCCCTCGCGCGCCCCTGCCCCCTCCCCCCCCCTCCTCCCTGGAGCAGCTCCTGGTTTTTTTTTGGGGGGGGGGGGCGCCAGTGTCGAGCAGTGCGGAGTCTCCCGCGCAGGACGCGCGGTTCCAGAGAGAGGTCTGGAGCCAGAGCCGCCCTGCCCTCCCCCTTTTCCCCCCAAGCGCCGACGAAGACGACGCTCACATGGCGAATCCTGAGATCTGTGAAGCGCCGAGCAAGAGAACGTTCACAAGCATCGTCGATCCCAGGAGAGTGGGGGAGCTGCAGTCGGGCCGAGGCATAGGATCGATGCCGGTTCGGGGAGGGCTGTTGTTAGATGCTCTGGCGCCTCCGGGGGAGGGTGCCCGAGCAGAGGCGCACCCCGTCATCCTTTCGGGAGGGACGAGGACACACAGGCACAGACAATGGAAGACAAGGGGGGACCATCGACCTCGTCCTCCTCCTCCTCCTCCTCCTCCTCTTTCTCCTCCTCCTCCTCCTCCTCCTCCTCCTCCTCTCCCTCCTCCTCCTACTCCTCCTCCTCCTCCTCCTCGATGCCCCGGAAAACATGGAAGATACGAGAAGTGTCCTGAGATCCTGGCGTTGCAGTTTTCTCACACCGGACGTTTTTGCCCGGTTTCGGGCCTCCTGGACCCTCACATATCGATCTGACTCGCAAAGTGACGCATTGAGATGGGGCCCAGGGCTTCTGTCGTGATTTCTCGCTATTTTTCAGCATGTTCCGAGACGTCGGATTTCAGGGTGGAGGGGAAGACGACCGTCCAGAAAACATGGAATTTATGGTGAATCCTGGGATCTGAGGTCATCGTTTTCTTATGTATTGTTTTGCCGATTGGCGCCGGCCCTGGCACCACCCCCTCCCCCTCCTTCTCATGGCGTAGATCTTGGCTGCTTTTTGGCGCCTGTTTCGAGCAGGTGGAGTCAGCCCCATCGGACGCACTGCTGCAAACAGTCGCACTCAGCAAATGTCTGGAGCCAGACCTCCCCCCTCCCCCCCTTCCGCCCAATGTCGAAGCGCCGATGAAGAGAACGCTCACGTGGTCAATCCAGGGATCTGTGCCCCAAGACATCCGGCTGCTCTAATTTTTTCGATGCGTGTGCCCCGGAGGTCTGGACCATTTCTCCGGGACCAGGTTTTCGTCCTGGGTCGTTTTTTGAAGCTCCCGAGGCCCAGCGAGGGTCCCCCGAGGCCGAGAACGGCCAGAAACCGCCCGCCCCAATTTTTTTTGGCCCCCGGAGGCCGAACACGGCCAGAAATCCTCCTGCTCCAATTTTTTCTTGGAGCGTCGGCTCTGCGCCTGTCTGTCTGCGTGTCCCTGGACCCCCTTCCCGCCCGCCCGGCGAGCGAGGCCAGAGAGAGCCGCGCAGCGCAAAGAAACGCCCCGCGCGCGCGGGAAGAGAGAGAGAGAGAGCCGCCCCCGCGTGGGCGGCGCGGGCTCCTCCTAGGCTGCCCCCTCCTCCCCTCCCCTCCTCCTTCCTCCTCCTCCTCCTCCTCTCCTCCTCTCCTCCTCCTCCTCTCCTTTTCCTCCTCCTCCTCCTCCTCCTCCTCCTCCTCCTCCTCCCTCCTCCCCCTCGGCGCGTTCTCTCTCTCTCTCTCTCTAGGCCTCCTGCATGGGGTCCGAGTAGATGGGGTCGGAGGGTCGCGCCACATCGCCGATGCATCGACGGTGCGGCTCGATGTGGAGCCCGTGTTTCTCCGCGCCGACGGCGCCGATGCCTCGCCCGCGTCGGCGATGCCTCGCCGATGCCTCGGCGATGCGGCGCGATCCTCCGACCCCGTCTGCTCGGGCCCCCTCCGGGAGGGCTCCATAGCTGGAGGCTCTAGCTGGGGGGCAGCGGGGCGGCCTCCTCCGCCGGGCATAGGGGTCGGCTGCACGTACTTTTTTGGAAGTCGGGCATGTGCCTCTACAGGAGGAATCTTAGAACAAAAGTCAAGCAATAGTCGGAGTTTGGTACCTAACAGCTTTTGCTGATAGGTTTCTAGTGGACTCAAAAGAGATCAGCAGATGACTCCACAGGGGGGTCGGGGCGGCATCCGGGGAGCTGTGTCCGAACTCGTGTCCGAATGCGCTTTTCGCAAACAGTCACACACTTCGTGCTCTTCGACCTCCCAGAACTCCATTCCCGGGCCACATTCTGAATGCCTGGAGCCAACTGTAGGCCACTTCGTGCTCTTCGACTTCCCAGAACTCCATTCCCGGGCCACATTTTGAATGCCCGGAGCCAACTGTAGGCCACTTCGTGCTCTTCGAGTTCCCAGAACTCCATTCCCGGGCCACATTTTGAATGCCCGGAGCCAACTGTAGGCCACTTCGTGCTCTTCGAGTGCCCAGAACTCCATTCCCGGGCCACATTTTGAATGCCCGGAGCCAACTGTAGGCCACTTCGTGCTCTTCGAGTGCCCAGAACTCCACTCCCGGGCCACATTTTGAATGCCAGGAGCCAACTGTAGGCCATCTTCGAGTTCCCAGAACTCCATTCCCGGGCCACATTTTGATGCTGATGCAGAGGCTGAGAATGGTGATGCTGATGCTGAGGCTGAGGCTGAGGCAGGCAGGCTGAGGCTGATGAGGCTGAGGCAGGCTGAGGCTGAGGCCGAGGCTGAAGGCAGGCTGAGGCAGACGCTGCAGGCTGAGGCTGAGGCTGAGGCAGGCTGAGGCTGAGGCTGAGGCAGGCTGATGCTGAGGCAGGCTGAGGCTGAGGCTGAGGCTGCAGGCTGAGGCTGAGGCAGGCTGAGGCTGAGGCTGAGGCAGGCTGAGGCAGACGCTGAGGCAGGCTGATGCTGAGGCAGGCTGAGGCTGAGGCTGAGGCTGCAGGCTGCTGAGGCAGGCTGAGGCACAGAGGCTGAGGCTGAAGGCAGACTGAGGCTGAGGCTGAAGCAGGCTGAGGCTGAGGCAGGCTGAGGCTGAGACTGAGGCAGGCTGATGCTGAGGCAGGGTGAGGCTGAGGCTGAGACTGATGCAGGCTGAGGCTGAGGCAGGCTGAGGCTGAGGCCGAGGCTGAAGGCAGGCTGAGGCTGAGGCTGAAGCAGGCTGAGGCTGAGGCTGAGGCAGGCTGAGGCAGACGCTGAGGCAGGCTGATGCTGAGGCAGGCTGAGGCTGAGGCAGGCTGAGGCACAGAGGCTGAGGCTGAAGGGCTGAGGCTGAGGCTGAAGCAGGCTGAGGCTGAGGCTGAGGCAGGCTGAGGCTGAGGCTGAGGCAGGCTGATACTGAGCCTGCTGAGGCTGTGACTGCGACTGCCGCCGCTGCGACTGTCATCGCGAATGCGACTGCGACTGCGAGAACAGCAGAACTCTACAACTGGATTCTCATCTGAATCTTAAGGGGAATGCTTCCATATATGCTTCTACACATCGCTGTTAGGTTGCTTTGCCGGGATATTTTTTTGTACCTAACAGCGAAGACTGATAGGTTTCTAATGGGGTCAAAAGAGAGCATCTGATGACTCCCCAGGGGGGTCTGGGCGGGAGCCGGACAGGCGAGAACCGGGCTCGTTTTAAGCAAACAGTCACACACTTCGTGCTCTTCGACCTCCCAGAACTCCATTCCCGGGCCACATTTTGAATGCCCGGAGCCAACTGTAGGCCACTTCGTGCTCTTCGACTTCCCAGAACTCCATTCCCGGGCCACATTTTGGATGCCCGGAGCCAACTGTAGGCCACTTCGTGCTCTTCGACTTCCCAGAACTCCATTCCCGGGCCACATTTTGGAATGCCCGGAGCCAACTGTAGGCCACTTCGTGCTCTTCGATTTCCCAGAACTCCATTCCCGGGCCACATTTTGAATGCCCGGAGCCAACTGTAGGCCACTTCGTGCTCTTCGAGTTCCCAGAACTCCATTCCCGGGCCACATTTTGAATGCCCGGAGCCAACTGTAGGCCACTTCGTGCTCTTCGAGTTCCCAGAACTCCATTCCTGGGTATGATTTTGAATGCCCGGAGCCAACTGTAGGCCACTTCGTGGTCTTCGAGTTCCCAGAACTCCATTCCTGGGCATGATTTTGAATGCCCGGAGCCACTGTAGGCCACTTCGTGTTCTTCGAGTTCCCAGCTCCATTCTGGGCCAGGCATTTTGAATGAGGCTGAGGCTGAGGCTGAGGCTGAGGCTGAGGCTGAGGCAGGCTGAGGCTGAGGCTGAGGCCGAGGCTGAAGGCAGACTGAGGCTGAGGCTGAAGGCAGGCTGAGGCTGAGGCTGAGGCAGGCTGAGGCTGAGGCTGAGGCAGGCTGAGCTGAGGCAGGCTGAGGCTGAGGCTGAGGCTGATGCAGGCTGAGGCTGAGGCAGGCTGAGGCTGAGGCCGAGGCTGAAGGCAGACTGAGGCTGAGGCTGAAGCAGGCTGAGGCTGAGGCTGAGGCAGGCTGAGGCTGAGGCTGAGGCAGGCTGAGGCAGGCTGAGGCTGAGGCTGAGGCTGAGGCTGAGGCTGAGGCTGAGGCTGAGGCTGAGGCTGAGGCTGAGGCTGAGGCTGAAGGCTGAGGCTGAGGCTGGCAGGCTGAGGCTGAGAGGCTGAGGCTGAGGCTGAGGCTGAAGCTGAGGCTGAGGCTGAGGCTGAGGCAGGCTGAGGCTGAGGCAGGCTGAGGCTGAGGCTGAGGCAGGCTGAGGCTGAGGCTGTGACTGCGACTGCCGTTGCCACTGCGACTGTCATCGCGAATGCGACTGCGACTGCGAGAACAGCCGAATTCTACAACTGGATTCTCATCTGAATCTTAAGGGGAATGCTTCCAGATATGCTCCTACACATCGCTGTTAGGTTGCTTTGCCGGGATTTTTTCTTCCAAACAAAATAATGTTATTTATTAGTTTTTGAACATTCTAGGATTTTATCTGGATTATTTTTAATGTTGTTGTCCAGAAGCCGCCTGTAAGGGGACACGCCCGACCTAAACGTACTTGTCGTGGCGCCAGCTTCGCAGAGCGGATTCCGTTCGGAAAACTATGGGATGGGGCCTGATTGTCCTGGAGAGTCTTGTTCCGGATTTCGATGTGAATTTCGCGCGATTTTCTTTGGCCAGGAATGAAGACCACATGAAATTCACTCTGTTTTTCGCTCGAGGTTTCGGGGTTTGGCATTGGCAAATGATATCGGGGAAAATACCAATCATCATCTTTTTAGGGATATAGGACTATAGGGCTATAGGGCTATACGGCTGTGGGGCTGTAGGGCTACAGGGCTATAGGGCTATAGGGTTATAGGGCTACAGGGCTATGGGGATATAGGGCTATCGGGCTCTAGGGCTATAGGGCTATAGGGCTATAGGGCTATAGGGCTAGAGGGCTAGATGGCTATAGGGCTATAGGGTTATTGGGCCATAGGGCTATAGGGCTATTCGGCACCCAGGCATCCCGGCATCCGGGCACCCGGGCACCCCGGCACTTGGGCACCCGGGCGTGCCGCCGAAATCGGCGCCATACCTCACCTAACCATGTGAATCCGCTAGGACCCCTACAGAGGCAAGCTCAGATTGGGGAAAATCCATAATAAAGTCAGCTACAGCACGTCTGCAAGGTCGGTGCAGTGATACTTGATCGGTAGCAAATCATGGGAGCCTGGTATGCTCTTTTAATCTTCTCTATAGCGTCGATTACCCCGGCACCCGGGCACCCGGACGTGCCGCCGAAATCGGCGCCATACCTCACCTAACCATATGAATCCGTTAGGACCCCTACAGAGGCAAGCTCTGATGGGGGAAAATCCATAAGAAAATCAGGTACAGCACGTCTGCAAGGGCGGTGCAGTGATACTTGTTCGGTAGCAAATCATGGGAGCTTGGTATGTTCTTATAATTCTCTCTCTGGCGTCGATTAGCGTCGATTAGCATCTAGGAGTCGATGAGAAAGCGCCGATGTAGCGTCGGCAAGCGTCGACTAGCGTCGATTAGCGTCCTAGGAGTCGATACGATAGCGCCGATGTAGCGGCGATTAGCGTCGACTAGCGTCCTAGGAGTCGATGAGGTAGCGCCGATTTAGCGTCGGCTAGCATCGATTAGCGTCGATTTGGCGTCGATTAGCGTAGACTAGCGTCGATTAGCGTCGATTCGCAAGAGCCGACAAGGTGGTATAGGAGGCTCCCATGAGTTGCCACCGTATACTATCTTTTGTTTCCTACAACCGGCGTTTCCGCTGGTTTCCGGGCCCCGAGGCCATCACACAGCGATGGGTCTCGGCACATGTTCCAGAGAGACATGTGTCTAGGACTCCGGTCGTACATCTTCGCGAGGTTGCATTTTCTGTCGCAGCGTTGGAGCTCGGGGTCAGAGTGAGCCTTCGCCAGAGTTCGAGTAGGGGATCGACTACAGAGTTGATGTACCCCAGAATTGATTTGTTGGTCGAATCCATGCGTAGGATTTGTCGCGGATCTACGAGGATTCTACGCTTGACTCGTCGAGGAGATCGATTTTGGATTAGGCCAATTCTGTAGACGAGCTCCTGCTCGAGCCTTTCGCAACGCCGAAGGGGGAGGAGCTTCGGCGCGAGTCAGCAGGGGCGTCCCCAGCGGGAGCCCAGGCTCCCCACGCCCGTACTGTGCCTTCCGTCCTAGCGGTGTTCTGTTTCGTGCGTGTCGGTTTCCGGGAACGCTCTTCGATCTAGGGGGACGAACAATGACCTGAACATAAGAACTCGGAGGTCCGCGCGGATTCCTCGGATCCGCGCTGGACCCTCCTGGCGGCGCCTCCGGCGCTGCCCCTGAAGCGCTCCGCGCATCAGGGAGGAGGGTCCAGCGCGGATACAAGAAATCCGCGCGGACCTCTGAGTTTTTATGTTTATGCCATTTTTCGTGCCTCTATGATTGGGCCCTGGGGCCGTCAAACGTTGGCCTGGGACGAACGATTGTAACCCTGGGAAGGTGTAGAGACCTCTGGGGCCTGCGGATGGAAGAGGAAGGCGTCGTCGGGTGTCTGCGAGGTGGCCTCTGCATTCTTAGGTGCGTGCATTGAGCAAGCCTTTTTACTTCCTGGCGTAAAAGTCGTCATTGGCGGGGGAGGGGGGGAGGGGCCCGCTGACGTAATGCTTGACGCGCGCTGGGTCTGGGAATGGTCCAGAATAGCTGAGACTGCTGCTATGATAATTAGGCAGGTCGGTCGGGCATCGCGAGCGTGAGCTAGTGGTAGTTAGCTTTGGGAATGCGCCAGAGTAGCTACGAATAGCTACGGGGTGTTGGAGCACCGTAGCTGGATATACCTGACTAGAACGAGGCGTGGAACGGCCGCGGGCGCGAATGGTGACGTACCCGGTGGCCTGGTGCTCTCGGGCGCGGCGTGGTGCTCGAAAATTATGGTGCACAATGAGGAGGAGGAGGAGGAGGTGGAGGAGGAGGAGGAGGAGGCGGAGGCGGACGCGGAGGCGGAGGCGGAGGAGGAAGAGGAGGAGGAGGAGGAGGAGGAGGATGAGGAGGAGGGAGGAGCCGAGGAGGAGGAGGAGGAGGAGGAGGAGGAGGAGGAGGAAGGATGATGATGCTGCTGCTGCTGCTGCTGCTGATGATGATGATGATGATGATGATGATGATGATGATGATGATGATGATGAATCTGATGATGAGGATGAGGATGAGGATGAGGAGGAGGAGGAGGAGGAGGAGGAGGTGGAGGAGGAGGAGGAGGAGGAGGACGGCGAGCAGAAAGGCCAGAGGCCTCTTGGATGCCGCTCGGAGTCTCCTTCGGATGCCTCTTGAGAGCTTCTTGGAGTTCTCTTGGAGGGTCTGGGGGGCCTCTTGGCGGTCCAGGGGGCCTTTGAGGGCGTCTTGGGTGCCGCGGGGGAGCCTCTTAGGGCCCCTTGGGGGTCTCTTGAAAGCTTCCTGGGGGGCTCTTGGGGTCTCTCGGGGCCTCCGTGGCACCTCTTGGGGCCCTCTTGGGGTACTCTTGAGAGCCTTTGGGGCCCTCTTGGGGTCATCTAGGAGGAGATCGATGAAAGAAGGGGCGGGGGTAGTTAATTTGCCCGCCCCTCCTGGAGGCCAACTTTGCCAAAATCCTTCGTAGAATTACCCTACCGAGGAACCCCACATACTTATATTCTGGCTGGAGTGATGATAGCCTCCTCCTCCTCCTCCTCTTCCTCGTCCTCTCCCCCTCGCCATTGTTATACTCCTTCGCACCCCCTACGGTGTCGGGAAATGCCACTCCTGCTATGCTCTGGACGACCGGCTCGGATAGCGGCCGCGCTCAGGGACCACCCCCTGCGCACCCCCTACGGTGTCGGGAAATGCCACTCCTGCTATGCCGTGGACGACCGGCTCGGATAGCGGCCGCGCTCAGGGACCACCCCCTGCGCACCCCTTGCGGTGTCGGGGAATGCCATTCCTGCTATGCCCTGGACGACCGGCTCGGATAGCGGCCGCGCTCAGGGACCACCTCCTGCGCACCCCCCACGGTGTCGGGAAATGCCACTCCTGCTATGCCCTGGACGACCGTCTCGGATAGTGGTCGCGCTCAGGGACCACCCCCTGCGCACCCCCTACGGTGTCGGGAAATGCCACTCCTGCTATGCCCTGACGACCGGCTCGGATAGCGGCCGCGCTCAGGGACCACCCCCTGCGCACCCCCTACGGTGTCGGGGAATGCCATTCCTGCTATGCCCTGGACGACCGGCTCGGATAGCGGCCGCGCTCAGAGACCACCCCCTGCGCACCCCCTACGGTGTCGGGAAATGCCACTCCTGCTGTGCCCTGGACGACCGGCTCGGATAGCGGCCGCGCTCAGGGACCACCCCCTGCGCATCCCCGACACTCCTGCTATGCTGTGCTGTGCCGAGCTGAGCTGAGCTGTGCTGTGCTGTGCTGTTCTGAGCTGGGCTGAGTTGTGCTGAGCTGTGCTGAGCAGTGCTGTGCTGTGCTGTGCTGTGCTGTGCTGCGCTGCTCTGCTGTGCTGAGCTGTGCTGTGCTGTGCTGTGCCGAGCTGAGCTGTGCTGTGCTGTGCTGTGCTGAGCTAAGCTGAGCTGAGCTGTGCTGTGCTGTGCTGAGCTGAGCTGAGCTGTGCTGAGCAGTGCTGAGCTGTGCTGTGCTGTGCTGTATGTATGTATGTCACGTCTGCCACGCTTTGCGGGAGAGGGAGGTGTGTGCGTGAGACGCGGGTGCGACGCGGCAGGGATGAAATCCAGACTCCCACTAAGCATGTGGGGAATAACTGATTTCTGCCTTTTCGCCGACGCCGTGCTGGACGCTCCAATGGGTCGCGACCCCCTTCCCCCGCCAGACCCAGGGTGAGGGGGCATGGTTCGGTGTCAAGACACCCTCCCCGCTCGCAAGCCGTGTCGCTCACTCCCACCCGCCCTCCGAACACATCAGCAGCACCCGAGCCGCAGCGTGTTCACAGTAGTCTTTGGATGGACAGCTAATGGGAACTAAAGCAGATCCCATGTGCGCAACGCTGGGGCGAGGTGCGCCAGGCGTGCCAGGCGCGCCACGCGCGCCAGTTGCACTAGGCACCCCTGTGGCCCAAGCGTGCCGGGCACGCCTGTTGCGCCAGATGCGCCACGTGATCCACGTGCGCCATGTATGCCGCATGCTCCAACCGCGCCAGGTGCACCACGTTGGGGGCACGCGCAGAGTGTGGCAGGTGCGCCTTCGCACATGGCAGTACACATCGGGAAACGTGTCGGCCCGCACCACACTTGTCGAAAACCAACGCGCAATCGCGGCAGGGTGGCCATCATAGCGTCTGGTAGGCTTGCACGTAGCAGGCAATATGCCAGCACTCCCGCCGTCCGAGTCAAAAACCAATGCACAGTGACCGCGGGGCGTCCGCGCATGATCCAGGTTTTGTCTCGAAGTGCATTTTGTATGGATGTTTGACAGGGATATTAGCCCTGCGCGCATCAGGCAATATGCGGGCACCCCCGCCGCCCCTGGCAACAAAACAATACAAAGTGCTCGCGATCCCCCCGATCATGACCCAAGATTCCTCTCGCTTCGCGGGGTGCACGTCTGGAGCACGTACAGGCCAGTCGCTTTGGGGATTGATTGGAACCCCTTAGGGCATTTTTGGGGACCGTATTGAGGGCCTTTGGGCTGTCTTGGTGCGATCTTGGGTGCCTTTGGGGCTCAATTGGGCGTCCTGTAGCTCGAACGCGCGAGTATTTCAAAATCCTTCAACATTTGTGTGAAATCAATAATATTTGCCTGTCGTTGTGGAGCCGTGCCGTTCGGCCCGCCCCAAGAACGTGCTATCGTATACGAGTATGCAGGCGTCTGCATGGTTTCTCGAGGCCTCCTGGGGGGAGGCTTCTTGGAGGAGCCTCTTGGGAGCCTCCTGGGGGCCTCTTGGGAGCCTCTTGGAAGCCTCTTGGGGGCCTCTTGGGGCTTCTTTGGGGCCTCTTTGGGGCCTCTTGGGGCCTGTTGGGCACGTCTTGGGCCGTCTGGGAGCGCTCGTACGCCGTCTGGCCCCTTCAGAGGCCATCTTGGAGGCATCTCGCCGTCGCCCTGGGGCTCTCTTGGGGTCCTTTTGGGCCGTCTTGAGGGCCTCTTGGGCTGTCTTGGGGGCCTCTTCTGGCCGTCTCGAACCCCTCTTGGGCTGTCTTTTTGGGCCTCTTGGGCTGTCTTGGGGCCTCTTGGAGGCTGCTTGGGCCGTCACGGCCCTCGGAGAGCCGAAAAAACGAGGACGCTGAAATCTGTCAAAAACCATCGGACATCGATTTTGGCTTCTGGAAGAGTTATTGGGGGTCCTCTTGGGGCGTTCTTGGGCCGTCTTGTGGGCCGCATGGGCCCCCTTGGGGCCATCTTTGGCCGTCCTGGAGACGTCTTGGGCCGTTTTGGGGACATCTTGAGGCCCTCGTGGAGTCCCAGGAGGCCCCGGAAGCCGATATCATAGATTTTCCATGCGTTCTGGTACCTTTTTTTTCCCCACGGAGGGTACGGTCAGGTGGCGCGGCTCCAGGGGGGGGGGTAAGGGGGGGAGACATAATAATGTAGCACAATACAATTTGTACCACTTATGTAATAATGGAATACATTGGATACGCTGCATTATCGCCTTCGCAGAAAACGCTGCCGTTTAGCACGTCACTTCCAGACGTAGATTTTTGGGCGTACGCCACACCGCCGACCCCTTGTGGGGGAGAAGTGGTGCGTCGCTTGGTGTGTTTTAGGGATTTCTGTGGGCTTCTCCTGGGATTTTCGGTTGGTTGGCCGCTTTGATGAGCGAGTGAGTGGGGAGGGATCATACTTTTGTGAGTGGAGTGTGTGTGTGTGTGTGTGTGTGTGGATTTTTTCGGTAGTCGCGCAGCATTTTGCATGATCGCACTTTGTTCAGGGGCCGTCATCGGGCCTGTTCGCACGGTCTCGGTAGCCTCTTGGGCTTCTTGGGACTCCAAAAAGTCTTTTTGGGGGCGAAGAGCTAGAATTATATTTCGTGGTTCCCTTCCTGGGCCTTTCTTGAAGCTTTCTTGGGGCGCCATGAGGCTGCCTTGGGCCATCGTGGGCTGTCTAGATGCCCGCTTGGGGACTTCTTGAGTCGTCTGGAGGCGGTGGAGGCTTCGTGGACCGTCTTCAAGCGTCGGAAACCCGAGAAGGCTGGAATGTCAATAACCTTCAAAAAGCTAATGAAAACCACTTATTTTCTAGCTCTTGGGGTCCTCTTGGGAAGCCTCTTCGAGGCCTCTTGGGGAGTCATGGAGGCATCCTGGGCCGTCTGGAAACTATCTTGGGCGTGTTGGAACGTTGATTCTGCGACTCGGGGCCTTCTTGGACCGTCTTGGAGATGTCTTGGGGTCCTCCTGGCCCGTTCTGAGGCCGTCGATGCCACTCCGGCAGAATTGCTGAAGCAAAGTACCCCCCCGGCCGGCCCCCGGCTGGCCCGGCCCCCGATCGTGACCCAAGATTTGGCTCCATAGTTGACAACACACTTTTTTGACACGGATTGGGGGGGGGGCCCTCATTGGTCCTGGCTGGCTGCCGGTCGCCTGGGGGAGGGGGTGTTTATCAATAGTGAACGCTGATGAACCCTTCTCCGAAGGGGAAGAGGGAAGATGGAAGATGGAACGCTCTACGCCACTCACGCCCCAGAGGGCTGGGTGTGATTTTCGAGTCGTACCTCCTACATGCTACCTCGCACTTCCTGCCTCCCGTGGACCTTTGCGCTCCTGCTCCGTCCTCCGCTACCTCCTCCTCCTCCTCCTGACTCTTGGGTTGGGTTTACACTGGTCCTCCTCCTCCTCCTCCTCCAGCCTCGTAATAGCCTCTTAGTTATCGGAGGTGGGGGGGCGAGATCGAAGTGAAACGGAGCCCCCCCCACCAGGAACTCGGTTCCGCTGGCGGCTCGCTTCGCGCGTGGGCGCGC